CCCACAAAGAAGATTGTAGATTCATTCATTTTTGGCTTGTTTTGTCAACAACAAGAATGTGCAGCATGACAACAGCGCCTTGAATTGCTCACATGGCCCTCTACCGTATAAATATCTTCCATGCTAATTTCATTTGAGTTTTGAGTTTTTTGCTGCATTTATGGAAAGAGCAAAGAGCATTCGGTGTACGGTATTATCCCATTTGAGCAACCAATTATCTCTGATTTGTCGTGTTGTCTCATCGAGCAACCGATTAATTTATGACGCATGTACATACACCAAATATACAGTATGTTTAGTTTATCAAGTTTTAGCTATTAATACATTGTGTTCTTTGTATTGTATGGGTCATTCGGAGTTATCTATGAATCTTGTTTACACATAACAACAGCTAATTGAAAGATGATAAATGTCTTATCTCTTGTACTTCGCAAAGTCATATCAATTGACGCATGTGCTATAACTTTTTGAATTGACTCAAAAATCACTCTTTCCTCGTTATAAAGTACGTGGCGTGCAAAAAAAACAAGGATGTAAAACTGCGATCCTTTTCTCTTAAATGACAGCTCATGGCTATACAACACGACAAAAAAAGGTTTTTCGTTTGGTTTGTTTGCCTTTTTAGCAGTGCTTTTGTTTGCTCCAAATCGAGTGAACTTGTTAAAACTCGCTTCATCAGGACTCATTAGAATGACAATCGCCATGATATTAGCTTCAGTCTTGAAACAAGGAAGCTGCGTTTTTACTAAAAAGTATCTTAAGTTTTATGGTTCATCTTGCACTCGTGATTCCAGTAAAAGTTGTGCCCATTCAACGCAGATATGTTTTTGGTAGGCTTTTAGCTCTAACCAGTCAGAATGTTGGTAAGAGGGCTGTGTCGTAGGTGGATCTTTTAAACGAATTGCCATAATAGATGCATCCCGGTCTCCCATTTAGATAACGAGATCCATTACGCTTCTGGCATTGCCATGTTAAATTTGAAATCCTCGGCGATAAAAAATTTGTTCAGACTCCACTCTCCGTGAGGGAGAAAATGGAGAGCTTTTGCAAGAGTACCACTATGACAACGAGTCGTAGTTTGTTGTCATAGCTCGCTCATGCCATCGTTTACCAACCAACCTAACCTTTGCCCTGTCTCATTATCGGTAATTCATTTCTTCCGAAAATGAAATTCAACTCGTTAGGACGAAAAGGATTGGGGACACTTCGATAAAAATATGACAGCTTTGTTTCCGTTGGAAACCGGTGTGCTTGCAACATGCAACGAGGTTTATTAACATCACTGACCTGTAAATACCTGGATATATCATCTCACTCAGTTTACTACATTTTGTAGCGTGTTGTATAGTCTTATGGAAATTTAGTTAATGTCGTTTTACAAAATACGGCAAGTTTTAGGTGAGATTTTTTAAATATAGCTTACGATTAGGTAAATGGTATGCAGGTCCGTGAATGCTTTTGACGTACCCTTTGTTTTTATAGCGCCATTTCTTGCTCTGTAATTGAAACGAAAAGATCATCTGCCGAGGTATGGATTATTTTACTTTCGTGTATGCTTCCCTTTTTCTTAAAGTTGCTGGATCGAAGTAAACTTTTTTTTTGCCTGAAGTGTAAAATCTACGAATATTTTGTTGTTGAATGATTTGACGATATTCGTGCTAAGCCAGCTTTAATTTCTTTTTGCGAGAGTTTTAAAAAAGCTGCCGAAACGATGCTAAGGGAGCTTTTCCTCCATTAATTTCAGATGACCCGAAATAATTTAGATTTTTTCCCCCGTCACTGACATTCGGGTAAAGTTCAAACTCTTGTGAAGTTTCAAAACTGTATTTTTTTATTTGCGTTATAGAATGATGAAAAAGAAATCTCAAGTTTACAAGATGATTTGAAAAAATGCAAAGAGGAGAAAAGGAAACTGCTTAATGAAGTCGAACAACATGATGAAAAGATTAAATTGGTATGTTTATTGATAATTATTGGACGACGATGTGCATGATATCAAGAATTGCTCAGACCCGAGGTCAATGTTATCTGTTGAAGCAAGGCTCTTGATATCATGCAAAAGCAGAATTCAAGAAGTGTTGTATCATACAATGATAAATGCAGAAACCTTCAAGCTATTTTATACGGAAACCACAAAATTTTTGACATGAAATAATCTTAGCGGTTTGCTTTCATTTCCTTTCCCCTCCCCCCGTCAAAACTAGTTGAAAA